CAGTCAGCCACTGTGGACAGAGCTGTCACCTTCACTTTGCGGCGGGACTGACTGCCAAAAGGTTGGCTTCTGGCACAAACATCCTCTGTGGGATTCAGGCACAGCCCTCGTGCGGCGGGAAAATGACAGCCTTGTTGAAGTGTTTTCATCACATTTCAAAAGAGAGGCTAGCACCGTTTTTGGCTGACTTATGGGTCCTTCTTCACTTCCATACATTTCAAATAAACAGAAATGTAGTATTACAGCGGTTAATAGATAAAACAAACTAAGGAAATCCATCACCTAATGAAATAACTTTGAACCCAAAATCCCAGTAAAGGCAGGATACCCTGTAGAACTATGTCACCTTAGGGACATTTACACAGTGCAACCGGGGAATATTATTCCTGTTCTTGAGCACTTCTCATTTGTATTATCTCACTATTGTCAAAGCCAAATTTTAAATTGGCAGAGAGGATACAAAGCATTCACTCTTACATTTGATTCATGGAAAAACATTATCTTTGTACTGACTTTGATGAGATACGTACAAAGTACCAGACAATATCCTCCAGCATATCTATTTCTATACAAATACACACACAAACATATATATATATATATATATATATATATATATATATATATAGACACACACACACATATATATATATATGTGTGTATGTGTGTAGGTCTACTAATGTTTCCTTTCCCTTATACTGTAAGACATAGGAAACTAAATGCATCTAAGTGATGTGAGAAACATTATCTAGTGTGTTGATTACTGTAGCAACAGATAAATGTCTGGTTAAGGCACATCACAAAGAGCAGTGTTATATGATAGGCTGTATAAATCCAACACCAAAGCTCAGGTTAAGTACATTTCTTGGCCAGATATCTTGGCCAGAATTTTTTTAAATCACAGATTATGGCATAGAACAACCAGCCTTTAGCACTATTATTCAATAATTCTAACTCAAGTGACAACACGGCGTGCCGAGTTGACCTGAATAGTTCATCAGATGCTGTTTTTTTGCTTCCCAGCTGTTGCAGGGCACCCAGGTCCTCCAGGTCCTCCTGGTGAACCCGGACCAATGGGACCAATGGGACCTCCTGGCGAAAAAGGTATTGGACACACAGGACCGAGGGGCCCACCAGGAGCTCCAGGAACCCCAGGCCACTCCCAAATGGGTAAGCCCGGCACCCCAGGTGGCCCTGGAAAACCTGGTACCCCAGGCATCCCCGGGGAGAGAGGTGCACCTGGTGCAACTGGAGCAATGGGTCATAGAGGTCCACCTGGTACGCCTGGAACACCTGGACCTGCTGGACTATCAGCCGTAGGAAAACCTGGACCAGCTGGGATCCCCGGTGCAATGGGTCCAAGAGGAGAACCTGGTCTAAAGGGACACCCTGGTGTCCCTGGTATCCCTGGTCTCAAGGGAGAAAGAGGCATTGGAGTTCCTGGGCCACAAGGACCATCAGGTCCATCTGGACCAATGGGCCCATCTGGTATGCCAGGCAAACCAGGAGTCGGCAAGCCTGGTACCCCTGGATATCCTGGGGAACCTGGTAAGGCTGGCATGCCAGGAAGAGATGGATCACCTGGAGCAATGGGTGCGCCAGGGCAGAAGGGTCACACTGGGCCTCCAGGTGTAGGAGCACCAGGAAAACCAGGCCAGAATGGAACCCCAGGTACGCCTGGACCTATTGGCCCCAAGGGTCCACAGGGTCCTGCTGGGCAGCCAGGATCCCCTGGCATGCCAGGTGTTGGCAAAACAGGTGAACCAGGAATACCAGGAAGCAGAGGAACCCCCGGTACCCCAGGAACCACAGGTCAGAAAGGAGAGCCTGGCCCAACAGGATTTACTGGTCAGCCAGGTGGTCCTGGTCCCATGGGCCCAGCTGGTCCACAGGGTGCAAGAGGATTTCAGGGTGAGACAGGTCCAGTGGGACCCAAAGGTGATATTGGTATGGTAGGTGCACCAGGCCCAAGAGGAACCAAGGGGGAGCAGGGAGCTCAGGGTTTCACTGGAAAACCAGGTACTCCTGGAGCAGTAGGTCCTCCTGGAATTCCAGGTCATAATGGTGCTCAAGGTCCAAAGGGTTCAGCGGGCCATGCTGGTCCCCCAGGCTCCCCAGGTGCAAATGGCGTCCCTGGAGTAAAAGGACACAATGGTTCTCCAGGAGCACCAGGTAAAAGTGGTGAACCTGGAAGGCCAGGACCTATGGGACCAGTTGGTCCCTCTGGTCCATCAGGCCCTCCTGGACTCAAGGGACACCCAGGGATTCCAGGTCCACCTGGTCCCGCTGGTCAAACATCAAAGGGTATTTCTGGCCCTCAAGGCGCCCCTGGCATTCCAGGTGAGAGAGGCCATGATGGTCTCCCTGGCCCTTCTGGTCCACCTGGTCCCCCTGGTCCACCAGGAGAGATCATCTACCACCATGAGAAGAGCATGCCAATCAAGTCCCATGAGGTCATGATGCCTCATGAGATGATGAAGGCCCCTATGTCTGCCTTTAGTGCTGTTCTGACCGTGGCCTATCCTCCAGCTGCCACTCCAATTCGGTTCAGCCAGGTTATCTACAACGGGGAGCAACATTATGACCCCAGCAGCGGTGTGTTTACCTGCCAAATCCCAGGCCTCTACTATTTTAGCTTTCATATGCATGTCAACGGTGCTAACGCTTTGGTGGCCCTCTACAAGAACGAGGTACCAGTTGTTTTCATCTATGATGAATACAACCAGGGTTTCCTGGATCAGATGTCAGGAAGTGCTGTTCTTATGCTGCACGCAGGTGACCGTGTCTATGTCCAGGTCCCTGACGAAGAGAGCAACGGTATTTTCGCTGCAGATAATGTTCACTGTTCTTTCTCTGGGTTCTTGATTGCCTCAACGTGATTTTGAAAACCCCAATAAATCTAAAAACCTTAAAAAAAAACGTTGAAACACTACTCAGAGGAATAGATCAGTTTGCAACATTCTTAATTAGGATTGTAAATTGGTTGCAAGTTTTGAAAGTTTAACTGCCTCATTGAAATATTTAGAAGTCCTAAATTTGCTGACAAAGCACTCATTCAACTGAAATGTATGAGACAACAAAATGTTCTCAAAATGGTCTGATCCTTGCCCCTTGTTCACATGGTGTTTAGCAATTTCAACAAACATTGAAATATAATGGAAGATATTTTTAGTGGTGCTCTAGAATTGCCTGGAAAATTCACAGCATGTGTATTTTCTATTTGTGTCTGTTTTTATTAATGTCTGTTGTTAAAGTATGTTCCTGCAGTATACATACAAAAGATAGGCATAATTGTTGTAATATATAAAGAGATCAACACATTCTCAAAAGCACTTTGACCAGTAAAAAGAAAAAATGGTATGAGAAATTAGAAATGTTTTTTTTAACTATGTCCCATTGGATGTGTTAAGTTATGTACCGCTTACTGACCATAACACGAAATAAAAGTTTGACTTTGAAAATTATTTTTGGCATACTGAGTATATCTGGTTCTTCCATGGAAAAAACAAAAAACAAATGTGTGCATGTTTGGACTATACCTTTAAATGCGGATGTATTGTAATTGTGGTCAATGGCAGCCACCATGTCTTTCCAAAAATCCGAATTCACTTCATTTCCTCGCTGTGAAAAAAGAAAGAAAGGTTATACGAAGGTTTTAGAAACTATAACTTCAGCTGTGGAGCCAGGGAACAGTGAATGAGAAACTAAAAGCATTCATCACCTTGTGCAACATGTCCACAACTCTTCCACAGAGCAGAGCCCCTGGCAGGTCAAAGTAATTGTCATAGAAATAGTATTTTGCTGTCAAAAGAAAACATCAACCATTCAGTTAGATTCATTTGAAATAAAGCTCAAAAATAAAAAAAATATTAACAACTGCATGAACTACCAGCACACTATTCTAAGATAATACAGAGGGATGTGAACACTATACCAGATCTTGTAAAGGAGGTACTCAGGCTGTTGAAGTGCTTCCATTCCCTTTTGGGGCCGTAGTGCTTGATGATTTCTTCTGTACTAAGGTCATTGGTTCCATGTGTCGCTCTATTTGACGAAAGACAAATTACATTATCACCCAGTGAACACTTTTTCATGGTCTATGAACACAAAGGTTTGTGTTGATGGCTGAAGTTTACCGTAAGACAGTCCCATCCTCAGCCAACTTCACAAGGTTCCCGTCCTCCAGATCCACAACTAAACCTTTAAAACTGGACACAATAATCGGGACCAAAAAGGTGAGAATTAAGTGTTTGGAATGACTTGGATGTTTGAGATGGATTTATACGTGCAGTTTCATTACGAGGTTACAGGACAGAGTTGTGTAAGGACAGGTGACCTGTCCAGGGTGGACCCCACCTCTTGCCCACTGTTAGCTGGGATATGAATGAACGTATTAATGAATAGACTTGTCAAGATACTTGTTTTACAACCTGATAGCTATACCAGGAACAGTAAAGAAAGAGGAGAAAATATTGTTAATGAACAGGGTTAACGGTCCAGACTAACTTTCTCTGCCATGGAAGAGTATAGAAGCACTGAGACCGGGTGGTTTGATGTATGAATTTTAGTGAATTTTTTATAAAATATCTTTTGTGGAATGATTAGTAAATCCCGGTCTTGAAAATGCTGTTCATAAGCAGCACTTTTTAAAGTTTGTAGTCAAGTTGCTAAACATTAACCCTGCTAATGCTGAGGCACATTAAAGCACAGCACATGACATGCACATTCTTTACAATGGCTTCACAGAACTATCTGCATGATAGCTGCTTTTCAATGAGGGCATGCCATAAGGATGTCATGAGACAGGCTCTAACAACGATAAATGCTAGACTAGATTACTTTCTGTTTATGCTGCCTTTATTTAAACCCCACCCATTTTTAAAATGCACTAAATTAAAAGTCCAATTTAAACATTTTTGTGGTCATTGATGCTGTAAGTGCCAAATATAGTGGGTCAAAAAAGTATTTAGTCAGCCAGTGATTGTGCAGGTTTTCCTACTTAGAAAGATGAGAAAGACTGGTAGTTCTCATAATAGGTACACCTGAACTATTAGAGGCATCCAGGAAATCAGATAGCAGGATTCTTATAGAATCTATTTGTGAATTATGGTGGAAAATAAGTATTTGGTCATCCACCTGTATTAATGGCACCTGTTTGAGCTCGTTATCTGTATTAAAGACACCTGTCCACAGACCCAGACAGCCAAACATCCTCAAGAAAGAGAGAGGTTATGTAGGGAGTTGGGCAGGAATAAAATAAAATTGGATATTGGGGATTTGTTTCAGAAGTCGTCTGGGGATGTGGTTTTTGGGAGTGTTTTCAGTTTTTTAAGAAGAACGGGTGTGTTAGGAAGAATTTAATAGATTGTCGAATCCATACTCCATTCTGGAAGGTGGCGGTAATGCACCTAAAAGTTGTTTGCCGACCGCCATTAAAAAAAAGAGAAGAAGAAGAAGAAGAAGACCCAGACAGCCAGACTCAAGCCCAGCCATGGCCCAGACCACAGAGCTGTCCACGGTAACCAGGAAGAGAACTGTGGACCTGCACCAGGCTGGGGAGAGAACCTACAACAGGCCAGCAGGTCGGTGTGAAGACATCACCTGTGAGAGCAACTGTAAGAAAATGGAAGACATAAAGACATACAGGACCACTGGTGATCTGCATCCATCTGGGAACACATGCAAGGCCTCATCCTGCGGAGAGGAAACATCCAAGAACTACACAGAGGGACCTGATTTAGGACCTGAAGAGAGCTAGGACCACAGTAAGTAACATCAGTAACACACTCCACATCCCTAAACAATGAGCGGGGACATGTATGGTGAGGCCTGAAGGAGAAATTTCCATCAGTGAGCGCACTGAAGATGGAACTGGCTGGGTCTTCCAGCATGATGACAATCCCAAACGCACCGCCCAGAAAGCAAAGGAGTGGCTCTGTAGAAAGCTTTTCAAGGTCCTGGAGAGGCCCAAACTGTCCCCAGACCTTAACCCAAAGTGTGTCCAGCTCCAGCCCCAAAGCATCAGTGCTGTAGAGGATCTGCGTGGAGGACCAGGCCAAACACATGCTGCTGAGTGGTGGAGCCTTACAGGAAACGTCTGAACACTGTCACTGCCAAAGGTTTGTTTACACAGTAGTCAGCTAAACTTTTTCTTGACCAAATACTACTTTTCCATCATAATATATTAAAACTTTTTAAAAATCCTACAATGTGAGGTCCTGGATTGTTCTCATTCTGCCTCTCGTAGTTCAGGTGTACCTATGATGGACATTACTAGTCTCGTCTTTCTAAATCGGAGAACCTGCAAAATCAGTGTCTGACTAAAATCTTTTATCTATTTATTTTTAAAACCCCCACTATATTTCAGACGCTGCAGTATAACATTGTATTGTCTTGTTGCCATGATGTCCTTAATTTATTTCACATGTAAATAACGTCATGGATCGTTTCAATAGGGACCTCACTTTTAAGAAGACGACAAAAAAAAGCCTCTTGCTGAGATGAGTGGAGCATTGGAAGGCTGAGTGGGTACTGACGGAAAAAGGCACATTTGAATTGGGCACTTGATCCTAATTACAATGTATTACAGAAAATAGCTGTGTTGTACAATATAATTGGGAGACATCTTCAGTCATTTTTCTATTGGCCTGGAGGTTCACTGACTGGAGGGAATATGAATATGTAAGAGATCCTGTCTGGTATGTAGTGTGATTAAATGTAGATTAAGGTAAAAAAAATTGCTTTTTTTCCCCCTTTTAAGTCTCAACTTTTAGATGTTGAGTCAGTCTTAGGCTGCAAATATAAAAAACAATTAACAATTCCTTACTCCTACAAAAAAAACTATAAAAGTATATTAAAAAAAATCTTTGAAACTTCAATGAACACCCATCCATTCTCCATATACTGCTTTCCCAGGGGGGCTGGAAATTATACCAGCTAACGACACCCTTAACAGGTCACCAGTTCTGTACTTTGGTACAGTTTTTGAGAGTTTGTGCTCGAGTCAATTTTTTTAGGAAAACGTATTGCTTTCACTCCACTACATTTGAACAAACGAAAATGTTCTCGTCCACAAAATTCCTCTGAAGGCATTGCTATTTCTGTTGGTGGTGTTTGTTAAATTGTAAAGCCTCTTTGGGTGTCTGGAAAAGTGCTTTATAAGGCTGTCGCTTTACTGTTACTGTGACTATCATCAGACATTTGGAGTTACTATCCAGTCCATTTTACCAGAAAATGTTCCCCAATTGTTCTGGACTGCACTTATTAAAAACGGCTAACATTTTTGCCAAGATTGAAAATTTTCAAGTACTTTGAAAGTAATTTTGAAAGCAAATACTCCAGTACTTTATTACTCCAGTAATGATTGGTTGGTGTGTGTCACACTGGCAAAGACGGAGCAGATGAACTGGAATAAAACATGTGCTGTAATTTGAAGGTGGAGAAAAGTTAGATTTTCAAAACCCAAAATATGACCCACATGTATAGTAGGGGAGTCAGTAGGGATACAGGCAAACGGTTAAACCAAGTGAACCCGAAAAGAAGAAACCACTCACAAGCAGAACTATAGGATTATAAAACCCCGTAGCTTACCTACAACGTCTTTGCTTACCTTCCAGAACAGTAAAGACTGCTGCTTACGTTGAAAATGGAATTGGAATATTTCCATATTTGGCTATTTAACCAAAGATATTGGAGTAAATAGGAATGTAGACTTAGTGGGCTGACCAGGACCAAATATCCCTCCCAGCCCACTGTGATACATTTAAGGTGAGAAATGGCTTAAAACTAGAGACAAGTCAAAGCCTCATGTATGTGATGACATGATGGTGATACGTATTAGCTGTGTGCTCTCTTATCAGGGGCATACAGGACAGGAAGTGCTGCATGCTGGGACATCAGCCCCATCTTATCATTAATGCTTTCCTTTTACCATTGGTAAGCCCTCTAGATTCTGTTTTATCCCCAAACACCAACAAACCAACACACAATAGCAGCTTCTCCATCAGAGGAACACAGTGATGAAACATCTGTAAGCTCCTCATCCATCCATCATACGTGTTTCTGCGACAGGTTGGGTTGTTGAGGGTTGTGGAAAAGGTCACTGTAGAGTAGACTCACCAGAAATCCCATGTGGCAGGAGTTAGATCCAGCAGGTCTTTGTCGTATCCCTTATGCTCCACCAGATACCTGGTGAAGCTCTCGTAGATGAGCTGCACACAGGAAGTGTCACAAAGTGGAATGAGTGTCAGCAGGGACATGACAAATGCAGCTGTGTGTACACGCATCCCAGTAAGAGGCAGTTTATCTTCTAAACGGAGCAGTGTTCTCCTCATCTTTTATGGTGGGAACCAACTGGTCACGGTCCTGCTATAAAGTAACATGACATCCAAATATTTACCTAAGAAATCCCACCCCCGATTGGATGGTGTTGAAACTACCATTATCAATCAATGTCAGACACATAGAGCTTTAAAAATGGCCTTAACAACTTAAGTCATTTAGACTTAGACTTAGACTTAGACAGTACTTTTTTGATCCCTTGGGAAGACTCCCTCAGGAAATTAAGGTTACCAGCAGCTTAAAGGGCAAACAGTGTCAAGTTAGAATCAGTTTAAGCAAAAATATACAAATAAATAAATAAAAATACAGATTAAGTACAGTGTTTGTGTATGTGATCTTTGGCAGACAACTGACCAGAGCAGAAACATATCTCTCTTGGGCATTGTTTATTTCATCTGGTAATTTTGGGATGAAATAAACACACTCTGGTCAGCAGCATTAAGGGACGGAACAGAAAATAAGCGGGCTGCAGGCCTGGTTGCCTGTAGGGTTGCTGTCACTTGTTTTTTATTTATTTTTTTATGGACTATCAAATAAGGAAGATCCAGCGCGTGTACGTGGACGGTGGCCCGGCGCACCGGCCCCCTAACAGCGCGAGGATGGAGCGGGATGTGTCCGCAGAGGCTTATGGGGGCGCGTGCGAGACTCACGCGCTGACAGCAGCACAGGCTGTGCATCGCGACACATCTGCGCCAAATCCCATCCTCAAACACGGGCTTCGGCGCGAGGAGGGGGCGGGGGACAAACAAACTGGCCGCCGAGCGCGAGCTATTTGTGCTCCTAAACGGGTCGAAGCGTCACGGCCACCGTACCCGCTGCGCGTGAGAGCGGAGCTGCACGCGCCCGACACACTCACCCTGGAGGTCTCCTTCAGGTGGTACCGGCACAGCGTGTGGTCCAGGTCGAAGCCGATAACGTCGCAGTCCGACAGGCTGAAGGACTCGCTCATGGTGCCGGGGGCCGCGTGCGGGCAGAAGAGCTGGGGAGCACGAGCTGGTTTTTGCGGAAACACAGCGAGACCCGGAGAGGCGCAGGAGCCCCTCCGCTCGACCTTTGGCAAGTCCCGCAGAGACAAAAGCACCGGCCTGTTCCCCCGGAGCGCGGACGGCTGGTTACAGAACGGTTAACGTCAATAACTTCCCAATTTGGAGGCAGAATTCAAACTCATGAGTGCCAGAAGATGGCGGCAAAGAGGCGACAGAAGGCAGCGCTTCCGCATGAGGAAACCGTAATACACAGAGAAGGGGCGCCCCGCCGAGTCAAATTGGTTTGCGCATTTAGGGGTGTAAATGTGTGTGACAGGAAAAAAAGCGGAAGCTCTGTGTGATTAGCTGGATTAGAAAAGAGTTAAATATCAGTGCCTTTGTTATTAATAACAATCCACATCCATACACTTTTAAAGAATTAACAATTGTAGAATGATTTGTAGGAATCATGTAGAACCCCAAAACTTTACAAGTTGCTTTATTAGGTGCCATTTGCCAAATTTCTTAAAATATTTGTCCCACAATCTAAATACCATGTGCTGAAAGAGAGAAATTTAGGTATTTCATGGTAAAGTTTTTAGTTTGTACCAGAGCTGCTTGAAGGCCAAAGACATCCGATTTTCATCCATCCATCCATTATCGTAGCCGCTTATTCCCTAATGGGGTGGTGGGGGAACCTGAGCCTATCCCAGTGGTCAATGAGGAGAGGCGGGACACCCTGGACGGTCTACCAGTCCATCACAGGGTCACACAGAGACACACAAGGACCAAAAACCACACACACTCACATTAAGGGCAGTTTGGAGACCAACCAACCTAACATGCAGGTTTTTAGACGGTGGGAGGAAGCCGGAGAACCCGGAGAGAACCCACAGACACAGGAGAACATGCAGACTCCACCCAGAAAGGTCCTGGTTCCCCCCTAGAGTCCAACCAAAAAACCCTCTGGTTGATTTCTTTATGCAGTGTTTGCAGATTTTTTCATTTCTGTCCATATTTTCCTCATTGACATCCAAGAGAGACAAAAACACTGTTTCTCTCAGATGCTATTTTATACCTCCAGATTGTTTATTATAGTTATGTTTTCACAGGGGTATCCAACATACACCTGTGCAGCCCTCTGTCAAACACATTAGTCCAAATTCTCTAGTAAACATCAATGCAATAATAAGAGATGTCTGGCAGCCCTGAAAACTTGACACAATGCTTTTTAGAAAACACTTTAATTCAGGTCGCAGAAAATGCATTTGAATAGTGAAAAAAGAGAGAGAATTCTAAATGTCAATCCACCATTTCTAGTCCCACTTCACTCAGCTCAGGGCTGCAGGGGGCTATAGTCTATCCCAGCTATCATTTAGTCTATTCAGAGAATAGACTTTAAAACAGCTCTGCTTGTGTAAAAGTCTCTTCATGGGCAAGCACCGAAATACCTTTCTGACATGTTAAAGCCACATGAACCAGCTCAGACTCTGAAAACCTCAGGTTCTGGTCTCCCGATGGGGCCCAGAGTCAGAACTAAACAAGCTGAAGCTTCATTTCAGCTCCATGCTCCTAAAATCTGGAACAGTCTTTTTTAAGATGTGAGACAGGCCTCAACTCTGACGATGTTTAAATCCAGGCTGAAAACTTTAACTATACATGTGGAAATTGAATGTATTTTATCTGCACCTTTCAACTTTTATCCATCTAATTTTTATTATTTTTCTTTTCTTGTTTTTCTGCTTTTAAATTATCTGTGAAGCACTTTGAATTGTCTTGTACACTAAATGTGCTATACAAAGAATTTAAAGGCTGTCTACCGTCTCTACATAAACAACACTGAGGGAAAGGGAAAGGAACAGCACTGAAAATACAGTAAGTTTCCAGATTTACTGAGCCATGTGAAATGGTTGCAGCCCAGGGAAAAAGCAATCAGCAGTCAATGGGAGTGTCAGTGGTTCCATCCCTCATGTGGCCGTGTCCTCAGGCAATATCTGATAGAAACTAACTAGCCTGTAATACTGTGAGCTAGTCTAGATAAAGAAGCGCGGTAAGGATGGGGCTCACGTGGCATGTGCTCAGCAACCGAGAAACATACAGAAATGTAACTCGTCTGAGATATCCGTGTAATTTTAAATGATGTTTTCATAGATTTAAAACGTGTTCTCTTCATGACTGCCTGAAGGATGCTTAAAACTGAACACAGATCACTTCTCATCAAACAGATGCTAAGCATGTCCCCCACAGCTGCCTAAACCTGACTAAAACCGCTGACTCTTTCCAAAAGAACAAAATTAACATCTTCAACCTTTTAATGATAATTATAAATGACAATCCAGTTACACCAATACAGAGGATTTGGTTGTTCGTCTTTGTGTGGCCCTGTGACTGGTGAAACCAGAAGAGATAAAGTTAGTCTTGACAGAGCACCATCAGCTCCTCCTGGCTTTATCCGTTCCACAAAGGCCAAACCAGGTTCAGGAAGTCAAGCCAGGTATAAGTAATACAGGTAAATGCACGCCCGCAGACCACTTAAAGAGACCATGAGATCGATCACAGACTCACTGACGGAGCAAAGAGTGACACAGCAAACAATAGCAGATCCCCTGAGTGCGAAAGGTGCCTAAAATTAACATTTTCTAACCACTACTCTTAATGGGAAACGATAAAACTTGAATGGTCCAAGAACACCAAGGGCCTGAGCTGACTCTTTCCTGAATAAGCTCTGGTCGTTCAACGTTTGAGACATCATGCTGAGGATGTTCTACCAGTTTTACCGTCTGGAAAGACATTAGCTCTTGCGTAGCTCCCAAAGGCTAACATTAAGCCAGTGTGTAGTATTCATCAAAGGCATACAGGCCATTGGGACCTGTCCACACTGCTGCAGAAGATGGGGAAACTGTGTCTGTGGAGTCGAGAATGCTGCAGGTATCATATCACTCTTAGGGAATTAATTCAATTTATTCCAGAATGGAAAAGAAGTCACTGATGTGATGCTCATAGAAAATACCATTTCTAACAGGACGTAGATGGTGTACTGCCTAAAAGCCAACTGGTAACATAGTATAACCTCAACATTTACAGTTACTCATTTGCCAACTTTTATCCAAAGAAACTTTCATTTCTGGAACAACATTCAATCTAAAGTAAGAGCACAACAGCAGAAGTCAGTGATTTGTAACACACAGGCTTTTGGCATCAGTGGGACAAATGGGGGGAAGCAGCAGGACTGAACAAATGGTGCACTAAAGAGGATAATGTACCATGCACAGTCCATGCTGTGCTAATTTATGTGTGTATTAACAGGATTCAAAAGCCGACAGGCCTCTGCAACACCCACCTGAAAAAGTTAATTGAGTTGGCAGACATACAGGTTACATGTTATAAAAGGAAACCGCAGGAATTGGACCCAGAAATGGGGATTAGAAGGCACTGAGATCCAGAAACAACAACAAGAAGTCACGCATCAGTGCACACTGTGAACACGATTGTTTTTCTCCCCAGCTTTTAGCAGACACGTTCAGTGCTCATATTACAATGAAGGAAACAACAAACATTCTGTCATCCATCAAAATAAGATAGAGAACCATCCATCCATCCATTATCGTTACTGCTTATTCCCTTATAGGGTCGCGGGGAGAACTGGAGCCTATCCCAGTGGTCAATGGGCGAGAGGACATTCCGCTAGTCCATTGCAGGGTATAGAGAACCACATAAATTGACATAGTTAATGACATCATGGTGCTCTCTGACTAGTACCCCACAGACATAATCGGGAAATATTTCTGGATTGTCCCAGTCCATCCCAGAGGCAACTCTAGGAGCCCACTCCTTTCTGAGACAGGCAAAGTTGTGAGAAACTACTCAAGCAATAATTATATCCAAAGCAAAATGGGTGCACGTCCTCATATATGTATGTGTATGTATCCTTTTCATGCCAAATACATTCTTCTGATGGTGCAGCAAGTAGTGGCTTTGCTAAAGATTTCAGCATCACCTTACTACTTACAGGAACAAGCCATTTGCAAAATATCTGAGGCCAACACAGATCATCTTTGAAACGGTGAAGGCATGGCAAGGCATGACAGCTGCAAGCCTTTGAAAAGGAGGCAACATGTGGTTGGAGCAACTTATATGGCATTAAATAATCTATTAAAGGCCTGTTTGTTTTCAGAATGATAACAATGTCCACATGGAGGATTATAACATCGTTATTTATAACCATCCTAATGTTGAAATAATTATTGTTCTTGACTGCATGTCAAAATGAATCAGTGGTATTTTAATTCAGGCCAATTAAGAAATAAAGACAAACATGAGAAAACTGAATAGTTGTCAGAACATCTGTTTCTGATGGGCCTAACTTAACTAGGCCTGGCTGTGTTGGGTCTGCAGAGCTGTGGTGGTTTTTGGATTGTGTTTTTCCCTACCTACCTCCAGGTGGCACAATCATATAGGATCCAGCTGCTGGCCATTACCTCCAATCAGGAGCAGCCTTAAGAAGGAGCGGTTGCCAGATAATTTTCTCTCTAAATGTGTGGTAACAGGCCAATCTAAGCGGTCAACTGCTCTTCTTGTTGAAAGACCCGATTCTTTATCCGTGCTACTTTTTTCAGTGCACAACCTCGGATTCCTCAGTCTCCCATTGGCTCTCCGGTAAAGGTATTTGGCCCATCAGAACCACAGACCAGCTGCCCTCCACCCCCCTCTCTGCCTTTCCACCAACCACAACCCCCTTAAGGATCCCCACACCAGCACTGGATCTGCGTCTACAGACCTCCCTTTTCCTCCGGGCTGCTTCCCTGTCACTGACAGAGAAACTAATCTTCTTGCTGACACAGACCTTGTGTCTGCAGTTGTAGACCACTTAGGAGTATTCAGCTGATGGCTTTATGGGCTGTTAGCCTGGGGTGGAGCAAGCTAGCTGCACAGGACAAATCCCCGCGGCGACTTTTTTTTTGCTTCTGCCTCTCTGAAACCAAATCAGGGCTTAATTAAGACCGGATATGCAGGAACTCCTGACTTAATCTGCTCTCCTGCTTCTGTGAAACTCGCAGGTGACGGAAGCCTTGGATGACTCTAATGCAGAACATTCCTATGCGATGGTTAACGCCTTGTTTCAGTGCCTAAAAATAAAAAAACATAGATAAAATTCTTGTGTAATTGCACTCAGTGATGACAAACACGTTGGTTTGAAACATGAGACTTATTGACAACCTTACAGACAGCAGTTTGTGGGACAGAGTTTGTGTGGATAAGGTGCTACAAACAGCACAGCTGTAATCAACTGTCCTATCATCAGGAGGCCCATCGGCTCTGGACTGATTCAGACGAGAGGCGGGACCTGACCGGGACCTGATCATTCACTTCATGACATGGAACGATTCCTGGTGTCTGGAACCTGAGTAAAAATGCAAATTTGAACAGGTTAACTCAATGACTAATACATTGGAGTGTGTTGAGTCAGAAGCTTCAACTCTACCGCAAGGCAAAAGGAAGTCCATTCCTTCCCGTAATAAGCCTTCAAAATGTCAGCTTACGGTTACTGTGTCACATGTCAGGTGAAGGCAGTCTCTGAGACCAAGCTGTTAAGTGAACAAAGTTTTTTCCAGGCCAGACAGACAGGGGTTAGGTTTCAGCCATCCAGGTCAAAGATAAACCGAAGGAGAAAGGAGACAAACTGGTTGTAATTCAGGGTCAAACGGGCAATGTGAAAACCAGGCGAACTGGCCTGAGTGTATCGCCACACTAAGCACAACAATTGGCCCCATGTAGGCGGGAATCAGTGTGATAGAGGATCAGCGATGGGAATCAGTGAGATGGAGCCCTGGCATGTGGGTGGTCACTTCTAGTGGTGGAGAGAAAACGCCCCATTTAAGGTCCATTCTGAATGTAACACCTACATACATTTAGCTCTTTACACTAACATCCTTTGACACAGTCAGAACACGTTTCATTTCATAATACCTCATTCACATGATAAATCATATATCAGAAGACTGATCTTCTGCATATTTTAGTAACAGAAATAATTTCCAGTGATTTCCATTTAGTATGTGCAGAGAAAAATAAAGACATTGCAGAGAAACATTTTATATAGCCCTGTTGCTCAACAATGTTCATAAATAATTTTCATCATATTTAATTTATATTTTATTCACTCTTTCAACTTTCAATAGAAGAAATCCAAAGCAATTCATATCTGAAGGCAAAATAAAATTGGACATGAATTTGCATGTTTCTGTTTCAGAAAGCAGAGCTCTTTGGTAGCATTAATAATGTTATCTACGTAGTTAAAGATGCATTCAGATAGATGGACATTTTCTACCTACTGTATATATGGTATAGATGCTTGGTCTTACTTAAAGTTAGGTTACCCAGAAATCCTGTGAAAGAGGAAGAGCAAAGGTTGCTGACATGCTTTCCAAAGAGAACCGACAGGAAATAAGATGACCGTGGCCCTTAGTTGAAAATACAAGACATATATATATATATATCCTTTCTATATATTGTTTATGATATGTATTACTTTTACATGGATTTTAAGTAAGAGATTGAATGTGTAACCGTTTCTAGTTGTGTGTCTCCTGTTCCGGAGGAGGCTGGATTCTCCTGTTGCATTTAATCCTTGACCAAGAGAATTCTTTACCTTAAATTCTGCTCATGTATGTATATTTTTTATTTGTTCTGGTATTTTATGTGGATTGTTTTCTGTTAGTTAAAAAAACAAAACTAGGCCGTAGCAGTCGTGACGTCACCGAGCCGCTCCTCATTCCTGTGCAGGTGCGCGTGATGAACTGTGAACCTGCTCCTCTAACAGGAAGCGGCTCATTCTGGTGTCTCGGCCCTTTAAGCAGCTCTCCGGGCCGGGGGCAGGGGACTTCTGGCCGTTATCAAACGCGAATCAGGGTTTTATGGCATGGGGACGGTGAGGAGGAGAGGCGCGCGCGTCCAGCTTTACGCACAATGACCGGCGCACACTGACCGGTGCTCAGCCATGGAGGTCCGAAAGGCGTTCTCCGCCTGCTGGGAGAGCTGCTGCTCGGCTCTGAAGAAGTCCGAGAGGTCCGGAGGAGACACCAAGCGCGATGGGAAGGACGGGACGGTCATCGAGAACCGGTTCGCCGGAGACCAGTCCGCGCCGGTCCCGGTGGCGCACAGAACGGTACCGGTACCGGTACCGGCGCCCCGCGGGGAGCTCTACATCGCCCTGTACGCCTACGCCGCCCGCACCGCGGACGACCTGAGCTTCAGCGCCGGGGACACCCTGGAGGCGCTGGACAAGAGCCCCGGGGACTGGTGGGTGGCCAAAGCCCTGACCGGGGTGTCCGCCTCCAAAACCGGCTACATCCCCGCCAACTACGTGGCGCTGCTGGAGAGCATCGACGCGGAGCCGTGAGTATCCCGTACCCCTAAGTGGGGGCATGTCTGGGGCTCCCCAATGGCTTTGAAAGTCATTTTCTGGATGTTGGACACCTCGGAAGTAGAGAAATGCGCGTAACTTCAGGTTTGAATAGGTTGTTCATCAGACCCAGTTTGGCTGTTGGATGTGCGCCTTTTACAGCAAATAAGTTACACCACAAGTTTTCTTTAGCAAAATAATACTTGAAAAGACACCAAAGTAGTTGTAATTCTGCTCTAGTCTTGTCTGGTAAACGAAAGACGCGCAATTATTAAATCTAAGCCGGACTTACAATAGTATGATAAACTTTCGTTCATTTATTTAAGGTGGAATTGAGAGATTATTAGCTTTCTCTGAGCTGAGCTGAGTCAAAGTCTATGATCTACTTTTTTCTTTTACTGTTAATGACTTCTGTTCCAACAGCGATAAGAGCTCATGTCCAACAAAAAGTTGTCTACACTGATACATTGAACTCGTTAACCATTATGAGACCAGGAAGTGTGTGTTTTTTTTTTTCTTTTCAGGTTAATAATTCCCATGCAGGGCCAAACACACATGAACAAGAGTTCTCAAATCAGTTTTACTGGACGTTTGTATTTTTATTACTTAAACTATTACAGTTAGAATATGACGTGCTATTTACCCAAATCCCTGCTCAGATTTGTTTGGACTCAGCACTATAAATAAATAAATGTCATCTATAGGCACTTGAAAATACAATCTCGGTGTGGAGAGACAACAAATGCTGGTTTAGATGGAGATGTTGGATGTTAGAATATTGGGTTACTGATCCGTCCTGGAGGTGGAACGTTTCCTTTTATTGCCTCCTTTAATTTGAGAGCAGCAGAAATTAAGCTAAAGAAAAGTCCTTCAGAGATTACTGATGACTCATCCCTGTTCACTCTGCCCTGGAATCCAGTATTTCCTGATTGTGTTTGGAATGAAAACAGGTCGGCGTTTCCTCATTCATGTGTGTCATGGCTCCATCAAGCTAAAAACCTGGTGGACCGGCAGCAGGAATTTGGTTCTTTCTTTCTTCTGTTTCCATTACACAGATTTAAACACCAGCTACAGTATCACATTCCACCACCGACCCATGGAGCCAGTCTCGCCTCCATGAGTTCCTCTCTGTTTTGTGTAGAATAGAATTTGTAAGTGAGGGGAATCAGTCCATAAGTCAGACATCACTGTTGGCTTTATTTTGATATGTTTGAACTAATGTGTGTGAGGCAGGGGAGGTGAGGGAAATGGAGATGTTGTTGGATGTTTTTTTTTTTCTTTTTCGGACGCAGTACAGGGTGATAACAACTCGACTTTGCTGATGTTTGTGCTGTCTAGCTTTGTGAGGGACAGCATTTGTGTTCAAAGATGGTGGATGAGTTTGTGCAACTGGCTGTCAGAGCTCTTTTATTTGGCACATCTTTATGGTAAACCGTGTGATGTCAAAAGGAGCAGAATCTGAATCCTCTCCTCATTGTTTAGCTCTGAATATGGATTTTTTGGGATATTTTCTTTGGTGTACACACGCTGTGAAGACCTGCACTATTTTTTTGTCCCATTTTGTGTTACGATGACTGTAAGAAGATAACACACACACAAATACGATGGTGCTGGGAAATGTGTGAACCCTTTAAAATGTTCCATATATTTACATAAAAATTACCTAAAACATCAGTTTCAAACAAGTCCTAGTAGTAAATAAAGAAAACGCAGTTAAAAAAATTAGACCAAATATTATACTTTGTCATTCATTTGAGGAAATTATCCAAATAACTGCATATTTGTGAGTCGCGGGAGTGTGGGAACCTTTGAGTTATGTCATTTTAACCTTTTGCTCCGTACTGAGCAGCTTCAGCTGTGGGATGTTGGTGCCCCCCCCCCCATTAAGTCCCTATTTCAGGTCCTTCCACCACATCTCTGTTGGAATAAGTTCAGAACTCTGACCTGGTCGTTCCAAAACATTAACTCTAATGTCCCTTAACCAAGGACAGTTTCCCTTTAGCGTTCTCTGGTGTAGGTCACATTTCACTGTTCCAGAGAATGCCAGCGTGGTGATTAGTAAACTGCAGACGGGCAGCAATGTTCTTTTTGGAGGGCAGTGGCTCCTCCCTGCCCCCCCCCCTGTTTTGCTCGGTGTTCTCCAGAAGGTTTGTGATTATCAACATTAGCCAGTCATTGGCCCTCAGGTGCTACACTTGGATTGGTGTCTTCTGAAAACTTTAAGGATGGTTTTTTGCAACGTTTTTCCAGCCATCAACACATTCAAATCTTTTTTTAACCCTATAATGCCAAATGTATCATATTTGATACATCCGGTTTCTGAAGTCTTTTGGATCTGAGACTTTCTGCATCATTCAGTGGTAAAAGCTTTGCTCAAACCCCTGTTGTACACATTCAGATATACCTGATAACAGCCAGTAGAAGACTACACCAACATATATTTTTGACTTATTGCATGCTAATTTGATTAAAATAATCTGTTTTATTTTCTTCATATGTTGTTGAGGGGCCAAAGAAAGACTTCAGACTAAAAAAAATAAAATATTCTTCCTATTTTTCATGGATCAGGCTTTAAAGGGTTAATGCCACGATACACTTCCTCAAACACACAGAGGATACTTTTATAGTTCCCTCTACTAAATGAGTACAGCCCCCACCAGCTCACACCTGATGTATTATCCCATTTATCAAAGACTTCTGAGCCTCATTTCAGCTTCAAATTAACTGTTTATCCTGGAGGTTCACATAGTTTTGATACTCACAAACTGTCACAGGGGGTAAACACAATAAAAACATGCTTTCTCTGCATCATTGGTCATTAAAATGGTACATTACTGATTTATTAAAACTAAATACGATAGGTACACTTAATGACATTATATAAGCCGTTAGGTATTATGGTTGGCAAGTACTTTTACTTTTAATACTTAAGTAGTTTTAAAAGCTTGTACTTTCTTACTTTTACTTAAGTAAAATAATAATGTGGTACTTTGACTTTCACTTGAGTAAATTTTTGTCTGTGTATTTGTACTTTTACTTAAGTACATTGTATGAGTACTTTCTCCACCACTGCAAATAGGTAATATTAGATCATTTTCAGTCTGATAAATAAATGAATAACTTTGTTGCCTCCTTTGTTTATCTGAGATTTCTCGATCTACTTTCAGGATTTGTGTGAAAATCTGATATTTTAGGAAACATTTAAAACATTTGATGGGGTTCACAAACATTATCCCCTCTGTGCATTTGCACCCTTTTGGTATTAGATTGGGTTCAAGTGTCACGAACTCCAATATGTTCAGCTGCTGGAGTGTGTGGAGATAAAACGGGCCGGTTTGGTTTGTTATTGATCTCAGGTCAAACCTGTAAAAGGCTGACTGAAATCCCTAGTGGGGCCGTGCTGAGGAAGCCTGAACCTGCTCTCATGTCTGAGGTTTGTTGACCCTGTGTTTCTGCAGATGGTATTTCCCGGACACCAAGAGGCTGGACGCGGAGAAGATGCTGCTGGCCGAAGGGAACCAGCAGGGGGCTTTCCTGGTCAGGAACTGCGAGAGTCAGAGGGGGGAGCTCTCTCTTTCAGGTAAGAGAAAAGAGGCCATGAGCAGCAGCAGAAGCCACAGTGGTCATTTCTGAAGGCAAACCCATAAAGTGACCATTACGCCCTACATATAAGCATCACGTCAGACAAACTCTGAGCTATTCACTCACTGTGTACAAACTCCCTAAAAACAGATCCCCTGCCAACCAGCTCATCGTAATACAAATCTGCATCAGGTCACACCCCTCTTACTAAAAAAAAGTTTTCCAGATGAAGCCAAACCTACCAGTTTGCTGCTGATACATCTCTGCTGTTTGTGTTATGAATGCTGAGCAGAGATCTCTTTAACTTTTAACTTGATAAAAGTGACACTTTGGACCACCCTATCAAAGCCTCTCTGATCAATTAGTTAATTAATACCATCCCCAGCTTTAAAAAAAAAAATCATAATTTGTATAAGAACAAACAACATCAACACTGTACTCATTTGTTGGTATTTTATTAAGCTGACTGCTATAGTTCTGAGTCACCTGTTGAAAGTCCCATTCTTCCGGTAATGACAAGCAAACATGTTTTACTGGAAGTTTATTAGATGAACAAGTAGGTTAGCATATTTAACTTATTTATCAGCCGAGGACACATGACCAAAGTTGCAAAAAGTCACTTTCAGAGTTTCTGCTTGAAGCAAAAGTTGTCCCTGTGTTGTTGTTTTTTTGTAGTATTCCTTTTTCCCCAAGATGATGTAATCTGACCTCTGAGCATTTACACGCTTTTAATGAGCAGTGCAAATACTTTGCAGGTTTAAACTGAAACCCTCTGTCACACTTTACTAATATTACTGTTACAGCAGTCTGAAACTGAAGGAACAAATGCTTATATATGAATATATATATATATTTCCCCTCAGAATGTAAAAATAAATATCATCTTCTTTTCTCTTTTAGTGCTGGACAATGGGAAAGTGAAGCATTACAAGCTAAAAAAGAATGAGTATGGGCAATACTTTGTGTCAAAGTCTAAATTCTTCCCAACTCTGAAAGAGTTGGTGGAGTACTACTCCAGACAGGCCGATGGCCTCTGTGTGCGTCTGGGTCAGCCATGTAAAAAGGTAAACTACACATTATGCTCACATTAGATGATGTTGGTTTTTCTACATTCTAATATTAAACGGATTTGAACTCTGACTCCTCCCTCCACACAGATGGAAGTCCCCCAGACCTACGGCCTGTCCTACAACACCGTGGACCAGTGGGAAATCGACCGCAGAACCATAAAACTACTGAAGAAGTTGGGGGCGGGACAGTTTGGTGAGGTGTTCGAGGGCCTGTGGAATGACACAACGTCGGTCGCAGTGAAGACCCTCAAACCTGGTAAGAAAAGTCAAGCTATTATGACCCTGAGGATCAGAGTGTGATGTGGATGTAAGCTCTTGAAATGCTTCTTCCATGTACACATGGAAGAAACAGATCATTATTACTGTGAGCTGTCGAGATAAAGGGAAAGAAAAGAGACCATAGAAGTGAAACTCACCGAGTGCAACGGACAGTTTTTATGTTTATGCATTTGGCAGACGCTTTTATCCAAAGCGACTTACAGAGTAGACACAATATTCCATTTCTCATCACTATGACAATAAGCTATCCAGAGGAGAAACACTGATCAGAGTCAGTGGTGAGATAGAGATAGAGGTAGAGGGACTACAGAAGGAGCTGTGGGGGGGTAGAGGTACGGGTTAGGGTTAGGATAGGAGCTGTGGGGGGTAGAGGTACGGGTTAGGGTTAGGATAGGAGCTGTGGGGGGGTAGAGGTACGGATTAGGGTTAGGATAGGAGATGCTCTTTGAAGAGGTGGGTCTTCAAGAGTTTCTTGAAGACAGACAGGGACTCTGCTGTTCTTGTGGAGCTTGGTAGGTCGTTCCACCATCCATTTTATGGAGTTAGTTCAGGAATGTTCAAATTCTCACAATAATTGGATCGTTTCTATAGAAAAAAACTACAACTGTTTTCCTGTTCTAGGAACAATGGACCCCCAAGACTTCCTGAGGGAGGCCCAGATCATGAAGAAGCTGCGGCACCCTAAGCTGATCCAGCTCTACGCCGTCTGCACCCTGGAGGAGCCCATCTACATCATCACGGAGCTGATGAAGAACGGAAGCCTGCTGGAATACCTGCAGAGTAAGCAGTTTTCGTCTTAGGGCTTTGTTTCGTCGTGGCTATGATGATTTTCCTCCAGGTAAAGGTGGGCTTAGCCTGGGATGAGCACCAGCTCACTTCTTTTTTTTTTTT